TACATGAAACTGAAGAAGAAGAAGAATATAAAGAAGAACATGAAGATAGAAGAGAGGAGGAAGAGGAAAATGATCAAGGAGAAAATATGACCGCGGAAAAAAATGTTGATCAAAAGTTTCATGATTTTATTCCTTCCAGGGAATCTTGTACATTTACTTTCTTAATCAAACTAAAATATGTCGAATGAGCAAAATAAACATTTTGTTCAGAAATAAATTGGATTTTCTCAATAATATTAAAGTGCCAGAAATCAGAAACAAAGTAATTATTTATATTTTTTACGAGACAAGACAGACAGATTATAAAATTTAACAAACGGATTAAAAATTTAACCAACAGATTAAAAATTTAACAAACGGATTAAAAATTTAACAAATAGATTAAAAATTTAACAAACAGATTATAAAATCTAACAAACAGATTAAAAACTTAACAAACGGATTATAAAATCTAACAAACGGATTAAAAACTTAACAAACAGATTATAAAATTTAGCAAACGGATTAAAAATTTAACAAACGGATTAAAAATTTAACAAACGGATTAAAAAATTTAACAAACGGATTATAAAATCTATCAAACAGATTATAAAATCCAACAAACGGATTAAAAACTTAACAAACAGATTAAAAATTTAACAAACGCAATTTAAATCTAACAAACGGATTAAAAATTTAAAAAACGGATTATAAAATTTAAAAAACGGATTAAAAAGTTAACGAACATGTTGAAAGATTAGCGAACGGTTGAAAAATTAGCGAACAGATTGAAATAAAGTAAATAAACGGATTAAAAGTACTAACATGCTTGAAATATTTTTAAAATAATGATAATTTGCAAGATTATTTTTTCTAGAATTGAGACAGCAGCGGAAACTTTTACTGTCAGGTGTTACACATTTTTCTTTTTAATTATTTTGTTTAATTTCGTGTGTCATTTTTTGTAATTATATGGATTAGATACTTTTTTCATTTAAATTAATATCTTTTCTTATTAACTAATTGCATAATTTTTCAAAACTTGCTTACGCTATTTTTAACATTTCTTTTATTCTAATTTTTGTTGTAAATTGCTTTATTTATCATTTACAAATTATATTAACTAATTGCTTTATTTTTTATATGTCAAGATGATATGATCCAATTACTTTGTTTTATATTTGAATTCATATTTGTAATGTTTAGAACCAGTCGGCTTAATAGACCACGGGCAAATACTTTTAAATATTCTATTCGATTCTAATCTATTCTATTCTATTCTATTCTATTCTATTCTATTCTATTTTATTCTAATCTATTCTATTCTATTCTATTCTATTCTATTCTAATCTATTCTATTCTATTCTATTTTAGACCGCTACATAAGCAGATTTTAAACATGAAGCTACGGCAGGAAAATTAGATATATATTTTTTTTAAAGACTTTAAAAGATTTTAAAAAATCACAAACTATAATTAAGGAACTGAACGCTTGACTAAAACTCTAATCTTCTAATCCTTATATCTTTGAATCCTGATAGTGTAAACCTTTAATATTCCAAATGTTATCTAGCTTAATATTCAGCTGTTAAATCATTGTTAAAAATACAGAAAAGGCTAAGACATCAGGTTGAGAAGATATCAAGATGGTAGTGTACGGAGAGTAATATTGGTTTCTATATATATTCATCTTTACTAATTGCTTCAGTTTAAATGTAGGATTAATACAAATAATTTTACTTTAAATATATACATCATCTATCTATCTATACATTTATAAAGTACAGGGTGTCCCAAAAACATGGGAATTCAGTGACGAATTCGATATCGTCTTTGTTCTGAACCAGCATAGTAATACCTAATTTCAAAAGTCATAATATAACTAGGTCTGCTAAAGTTTATTTAATGAAAAGGGTAAAATACTGCAAAAATGTGTCTATAATGCAAGATGAACAGTGAAGACGGACAAGTTTACTCTGTTTGTACTTTGTATACTGCAATTTTCTTGTTTTACTAAGTACAACCGTATGCAGTCAAAACATAAACAAACAAAATGTGAACGTTGCAGACGAAACTCTTACAGATTACAGCTTTCTCAGTAGGTATCACTATACTAAATCAAAGAATTATTTGAAAAGACGATATCGAATTCGTCAGTGAATTCCCATGTTTATTTGGACACCCTGTATAGTATTCTTTGTCTGTTTGGATGTCCGATCATAATCCCCCTGATCATTGGCCGATTGATCTCAATTTTTAATTGGATAACTCTGGGAATGTTGTTTCATGTTAGCCTGGGGTAAAAATCGAGTGGAGGGACTTTTATAGGAGAAACTCCAAGAAAATCTGGATTCCCAAGCTAGTACTGTATTAAGATTAAATCATAGATATACAAGAATGTAGATCGCTCAAGTCGTCTTCACCATACAGAAGGGTAACAGTTAAAATTGAAAATAGCAATTTAGCTATGGTACTAGCTACTGACATACAGTACATTGGATATAAAGGTTTGCGGCAAGTATATTTGTACTCTGTACAAATTTATGGGGGTTGTATATCTATGGATAAAATATTTAATTAACCCTGTATAGTCCTGGGCAGGAGATTTACATACTCTTCACGAGGATATCCAGGTTACAGATCACCTAGGGTCACAGTTTTAATTTTTTACTTTAAAGGTACTGTAAACATAATTTCAAGTAAACGATTAGCATTTCTGATTCACGACACACCGTTGACTCTTTTACCTTTTTAAAATAATAATGATGCAGATAACGTCATTTTTCTATTGAAAAAGTAATGAAATCTATTCATTGTTTGTGCAGCTGAACCCACAATTGAAAATAACAAATTTTCAGTATTATCGAACAGTCTCTTTAAGATAACTATGTTTAGACGAGCCAAGAAGAGGAGGAGGGTCTACAAGATATTGAAAAAATAAGTCAAGAAAACCTAAAAGCATCATCCCTTGAATTATATTTTCTCAACTTGTAAACGTACACTCATTTTTACCCAAAGAAAACTAAAACACATTAGTCTGTAACAAGCACAAAAATGTTTTAAACTTGTTTTAATTTTTGAAAAAATCTAAAAATTTTTTTAATAAATCACTCGGAAAAATATCCTTAAAGGGAGTGTTCGCGAAAAATGAAAGGGGGTATAGGCTTAATGCGATAAAAAAGCGCTTTTGATCGCTTCTAATGTTACTTCTGTCTGTTGTGTCTATAAGGAGAAAATTGTTAAAAACGACTAATACCGAAGAACGTAGTATCCATACAAATTCAGAAAGATACGACTTAGATCGTAAAAAAAATCCATTTAATTTCAAACAAATCATTCAGATATTACACCCTATGGTCAACAATTATCTTTCGCCACATTTGTATATAGTTGATTTTTCATAATATGTTTTAAGTTTTAATTGTTATGATCTGAAAGTTACTTATAAAAACATTTATTCCTGTTTCGAGGATTTTTGGTAATGAAGACGACATTTTCATATTTTCCAGGGATGTTCGAAAACAAGTTGGAAGCTAAATTTTATTTTAAAAATTAAATCCCCGTGACCGGCAATGTATGACAGATGAACTGAGAATGTAGTATTGTGGAGATATTTTTTAGGATTCATTTGCGACATTAAAACGTTTTAATGATGTATAATAACTGTCTTTGATTGCAAAGTCGACGTTCAAAATCATACGACGAAAAATGAAAAAAATCTACAGTAAACTAATTAGATGTTTAGGAACATATTTCTCAATATAAAGTTATCAATAAATCAATGTTAGAATCAACTATTTCTTTTTTATCATTATATTGAAGTTCTAATTAATTAAAATTGAAGACAATCCGAAGAAAGCTTCGCCCCAGAATTTTTACTGGAATTTTGTTCGCAGATTTTTACAAATTCTTCAAATGTCGTCTTTTCAATAAAAATTCCAGGAAATTTACAGAAAATGTTTGCGCAATGAGAGATTTATAACTGAATAAGATTACTTATTTTCGATGATAAGAGTTGATTTTTATTTTCTCTTCCTGTTCCTAAACAACTAATAAGTAAACAGTATTTATTTATACAATATTTAAACGTTTTAAATGTCTCACATGAATCCTACATTCTCAGTTCAACTACCATACATTGCCATCCCCTTAAAGAGTTTTACAATGGTACCCTTTAAACCTTTTTCCTATAGAATTGAAGACTTTTCTGTCCATTATTTATCTTCCTTGTGTCTGCTGCATAAATCCGCAAAAAAATATTGTAAAATATCAATTAAAAATTTGATTTTTTGCTAGAAGGCTCTCAATCATTTGAATCTGTAAAAGGTTTCAAGGGATCTGTTGAATGCTAGATGAAGATCATTTGAAGTTTCACGATAGTCCTTTAAAATACTGGATTCATGTGACTATCTGTAATTTCTGGAATAAAAAAACTCGTGCTCTTAATACAATAGTTCATAATTACACTTAAATAAACCTTATTCAAAATTACACTTAAATAAACCTAATACAATAGTTCAAAATTACACTTAAATAAACCTAATACAATAGTTCAAAATTACACTTAAATAAACCTAATACAATAGTTCAAAATTACACTTAAATAAACCTTAAATCCTTAATATTAAGGAACTCGATCTTTATTAAAACATATTATCAATGTTATTATTTATTTTATTTAAATAAATGCTTTATCACAATATTTCCCTAATTTAATGTTTATTTTAAACAAAAACACGGTGATTTAGATATCTTGGTCATGAATGCTTTCACTTTTATCCCAATTTCACCAATTCAATGTAGAATTTGTATACTTTAATATTTACACATTGTTTGATGGTTTTTTATTGACGTGACTGAACCCGGAGTGTCGTTTTTATCAATACAATGAAGACGACTTTCGATTTTAATTTTGCTTTTTATCAAGCTTTTAAACAGCATGGATACACATAAACATGGAAACAAAGAGAAGCTGTCAATTAACAGCTTCTCTTTCCTTGTAAACTTGTAAATTTAAAAAATCTTGTTAGAAATTCAAACTTAAATAGAAAATTCGTATTTATTGTATTGATATAAACGCCGACCACTGTATGTAGATATGAATTAGCTCATGTTACAGTTAAAGTAATCACAAATCACAATACATCCATTAAATTAGCTAAATTAATCACAAATCACAATACATCCATTAAATTAGCTAAATTAATCACAGATCAAAATAAATCCATTAAATTATTATTTTTTATATTAGATTTAAACGTTTACACTTAAAGGATGAGACTTCAGAGACACAAATTATTGAAGACGACTTTTAAACATGATTTTACTTTGCCATTGTTTGGTAAATTAGCATAATATCAGAAGAATGTATTTAAGAATGATCTTCAACTCAATCTTCAGATGTTCAAAATTTTAAAGTTTTAGGTCATCATTAAAGGTACTGTCGTTGTAATTAGAAAGATTAGAAAGTGTTTGAATCTGACAAGTTCCTCCATATTGTTTCTGAAGGATAAATGCGCACTTAATAGAGAAACCAAAATGGAAAAAATCAAATTTCAAAGAAAAGATAATTGATATCTCATGAATTCTTGATTAGATAATGCGATGTTATTAGTAAAATAGGACATGACACTTTTTAGATGGATCATCACTTGAAAATACGTTTACAGTCCCTTTAAAGTCTCATCCTTGATGATTAATCGGAATCTGAATCAGCAGAGTATCTATCACGGGATTTTCTCATTCCACCAGCCAGGGCTAACCCTCCTCCAACAACCAATGCCAGACCAGCTATAACAGCCACACCTACAACCAAAATAGTTAAACCTGCAACCCAAAAAGTTAAACCTGCAACCAAAATAGTTAAACCTGCAACCAATATTGTTAAACCTACAACTAAAATAGTTAAACCTGAAACCAATAAAGTTGAACCTTTAACCAAAATAATTGAACATGCAATCAAAATAGTTAAAACCTGCAACCTGACAAAGATTTTAAGGGTTGCACTTTTAAATCGGGCAATTGCCATCTTTGCATGGAGGGTCACGCTCCCAGTCCCTTTATCAAAATAAAAGTTCTCTGTGCTTCTTTAATTTGAACTAACCTGCTGTAACCCCATCAACCACATCATTAACTTGTTGTGAGGTAGCTGTACCATTCCTACTATTAGTAGCAAAGTGTTCACAATTGTTTGTGAGCAGGTTGTAGGGTTCACGGGATATATCTGTTTTTCTAGCGTTGGCTAACTTTAATACTCGCTCTATTATCTCTTCAGTAGGAAGAGGCTCCCGTTCACTATCAAATCTATTGTTGATTCGAACACTAAAATAATTTCAGAAATTATTTTTAAGTTTATATTATTATTATCAGTGTTAATTTTTATTAAGGGACTTAATTTGAAGTTTTTACGACTCGAATAGTGTTTATTTCTGTAATTAAAACTCGTAAGTCACTTTTGCGGAGAAACCACAAATAAAAATAAGTAGTTTTAAGGAACAAAAACATGCATACAATTAATTTGATCATAAAAAGTTTTTAAGGGTACCATTGTAAATCGGCCATTGCCATCCCTTGAAATTGCGCTTATCTTATGTGGACATTTTCAATTAGGATTTTGGGATGAAAATTTTAGAATTTTATAGTTAAATCAAAACTGCATGGTTCTTGGGGTATCGGATAGGTTTAAATTAGTAAAGATTTTAAAAAACTAGTTTGAGTCATCAGAAGTTCAAAAAGTTTCAACTCAGAAACCATGTTTACTTGATCCAATCAGCCTCAAAAACGATTAAAATCCTCTTATTTGTGTCCCTGAAAGCAAATTTAGTTTCTAACCTGCTTTCAGCACAAACATGGCTAAGTTGTTGCAAAATAACGTCTCCTATACCATTCGCTCCTTTGTTAGAAACGGCGATAGATCTATTAGAAAATCCACCATTGATTGCTTCGTTAGATCTATGCACAACACTGGGAACTAAAAAAATAATAGTTAATGTTTTAATTAAATTTATATTATTGTAGCTGTGAGATATCACTAACATTGTGTTCAAGATTTTGAACAAAACAATCATAATTTCAAACAAAATGAAAAGATGCACCTTTCCTCCTTCCTGAGCAAGATGTTTCCCTGTATCCCACGTATACTGCCCAATGCTTGTATATGCCACGATCAAACTCAAGAAGATCTCCCTCATGGACCTCAACAACTAGCTCATGCAGTTCGTCAGGAGTATACCATTTGCTCACCTAAGCAAATGGAGCTCAAAACTTTTGTATTGTTAATCCTTTGATCCCAACTACGGTAATTCTTTTTGTGACATAAATCAAAGATTAAAAAAAATGTAATAGGCCAAAACGAAATTGCGAAAATATAAGGCACTTAATCGCTTCAAATTAAAAGTTTAGTATATGGATATTAGTAGACTTTCAATTCATATATTATAATTAATGAGAAAATGTACACAAATTTTACAATAAATCATGAAAATGAAAGAAAAAACTTTCATGTGACTTTTTTATTTGCATATTATGTTTTTTTTTTCAACGTATAAAAAGTGATTCTTCATATAAAGCGGGACTTTATCACTTAACAACTTGACAAAAAAAAATGATTGGCACTGTCAAAACGAAAGGTAACTTTGAATCTGTATAAAATTACCTTGCCAACATTTCTGTTTCTGTTTTTGTTCATCTTTTGTCTGTACGTTCTCTAATTTTCAAAACCTAGAACAATTTATAAAAAAAATATTTTCAATTCTGAATTAAACGCAATCTCTGGAATAATTTTGACAAGAGTAAAGTAAAGAGAAAAATACAGTGAAACCCTTAATAACGAATACATCGGAAGAATTTATCAAATGTCGTCTTGACAAATTTTCAATGAGTTTTATACTATATTACGTAAATTTCAGTATTTGCGAAAATAAATAAATAGCCATGAATATGCGGGAACAGTTTTAAAGAGTTCCATATAATCATTTAATTAAAAAACTAAATATCTGAACATTCCATTATCAGAAAGTGAAGAATACAACATTTGATGAATTCTTTCGATGTATTCGTTATTAAGGGTTTCACTGTATATAAGCAGAAAAATATATATTTTGAAAACAAGAAATTTTATTTTTAAAAATCTTATTTCTTAGGCCTATTAGTACCTCCGGAAACCTGTGGGTTCCCTTAAAAAAATCGGCCAATTTGGTGAAGCAGTTTGGCTCTGGCTAACATATATGTAAATATATAAGAGCGAAGAGCTTTATTTTATAAATTTTCATAAAATATCTGAAGTTGGAGACAGTCGGATCACTTAAATTTACTACCGACTAATTTTCCCAAAGATTTTGTTTACTGAACGAACGATTTTACTGAGAGAACAAACGAAATAGATGAAAAATGAACGATAATTTTGAGAACACACGACAATTTTTTTCAACAAAATGGGTTGTTCACGAAGGATGAACGAAAGAAATGAAAAAATCCTAGCTCTACACCCCACCCTCGATCATGCGGATATTGAGGATTACAATGCCAAGATATGAGTCATTGTTAAAACCAGCAAAGATTTGTTTTTAACAATCAAGAAAATAGATATTAACATATTAGTGATCCACAAAAAAAGGCACGCTAATCACAAAAAGAAAATTCTTTTATCATTAAATTTTAAAAGTTGAAGTTAATTTCGTATCATTATAGTCTTTAAATGATGTAATTTATAAATGTTTAAAAAGTAAAAAAGCAAAAGTACAGCTGCAGGAAATCATGAATAAAGTATTTTGCGTTTTTAACCCATATTTGTAACTAAAATTACAATTTACCTTGAAAATGCTTAAAAATGTGTGAACTGTGTGTAGTGTTTGTATTTCACTGCTTTAACTCCCAGTCAACTGCCTGAGAAAGAGTGCTTATAGTGCCTGAGCTCACAGCTGCATATTTATATATTTCAAATTTCACACGAAGGATCACCGTCACTTTTTTATCTATTTTTTATCTATTTTATATCTTCACACGAAAAATCACTGTCTCTTTTTATCTCCAAAAACAAACATTTATAATTCACATAAAATATGACCAGGGATTTTCCTAAGGGGGGTGCAAAGAGGGGTGTTGTAGTATGGGCCCGGTGTCCGAATTTAATAAATTTAAGCCGCATCATAAATCACCCAAAAACCGGTTTTAATTGAGCGTCGGCGTAAATCCTGAAAAACTTAATACAATTTCAAGTGGAACCAACCATATTTGAGCCGCGGTTTAAATTTAAGCCACCGCTCAAATTCTTTAAATAGAAAATTTTTTGAATTTTGCTATAAAATCGAGTATTTTTAACTGGAATTGTATGTTATGTAGGAAATTTTCTAATTTGTCAAAACAATACATATTCGTATATTTTTTGTGGACACTCATGGGTAGCCTGGGGTGACAAATTGGCTAAAGAAATGTTTTTTTTTTTTAATATTTTTTAATTTTTATTGTTTTCCCGCGGGCAACGCCGGGCCCTTCAGCTAGTATAATATAATATAACTAAAAATTTTTTTCTTAAACTAGAAAATTTAAGAAATAAACAAATATTGGTGAAGGAAAACAGTAACACACCAAAGAATGTAATGCCCATTACTCCTCTAAAAGTGGGGGTAACTTTGATCCNAAAAAAAATTACACCGCTAACTTTAAAAGTTTGGGTGCAAGGAAGCTTTGTAAAAAAAATCCAAAAAAGAGTCGGAAAAATGTAAAAATATTTTTTTTTGCGGCAAAATTTAAGCTTCTGTAGCCATTTTTCAAGTGCTTTTCAAAAATGTAGTTTTTAGATCTGTAGCTTTTAGTCACAAAAAATTTAGATTTTTTTTCACGGACCTGACTTCTTATCGCCCTGTATCCTACCATATGTTTTTTTTTAACAAAAAATCATTTAAATTACAAGTCAAAATTTCAAAAGACAAAAAAAACTATTCCGATCTGCCAGGCTACATTTGTTGCATATACCGTTCTGAGTTGCACTTTAGTTTCAGTAGAAGTAAATATTTCCATTTACTACTTTGCGCCGATTTATAGTATTCATCTCTGATTGGACGATAACATAGATAGAAAGATAAATGTTACCGTTATGCAATTTCTATTGGCTCAGAATAGACACCAAAGACCATGGACTAGCCTGGACGACTGAATGCATATTGCATCATGCAACTTTAATAGTGGGGAGCATAGCAACCTGAACCAAAATACTGAACCTGTCAATGTCATATGATACTTTTTAACTTTAATAATTTATTTTGGTTAAGGGGTGTGGGCACAACCTCATGAATACAAATGAAACGATAAATCAATAAATCTATTTCCAATTTATTATCAAGGTCTTTCTATTATTTGGTTTTGCTCAAGATCGATTAAATGTCATTTACCTCAACGTTTTGTGTTGCACCGTTGTCTAAAATACTTGACCATGGGTGACCCTGTAAGCCACAGTGAACACTTATTTTACTCGGGCTGATCTTGCTTCCTGTTTTTCCTTAGTTTTAGGTTTGGATAGAAATGATTTTGTTAATAGCATGTAGCGTTAATTTACTAAAAAGTCAAAAAAAATTTTAATTTAGAATTTTTTTTTCAAGAGATTGATTTTAATTTCCTCTGTCTACTCTCTTCTGTCTATCATTTCCTTTATGCCAACTCTGAATTCTCTGGCTCCGTAAAATATTCTCGCTCATATGCATATTCTCCTATTGTTTCTTACTTTCTGCACTTTAAATGGATCAGCATGTGTGAATATCAAATCCATCAGTGCCCATTCATTTTCTTGACAAAAACGCAACAGTCCGCTAGAACACACTCCCCCTAACCAGGCGCGCAACTAGACATTTGGTTAGAGGGGGGCTAGGGGGAAATATTTCTCGCGAAGCGCGAAAAATTTTTTGGCCCCCCCCCCTAAACATTTTTTGGGGCGGGCAAGAAAAATGTGTGTTATACTTAAACAATAAAAAACTAACCTTACCAACCGGATATTCAGTTATAAGTCAACACATCTGATATAAAATGAAACAAGAAATCTATTCTGGTCAGGGGCGGATACAGGGGGGGGGCGGGGGGACATTCGCCCCCCCTAAATTTGGAATTTTTTGTTCTTATTTCAGAATAGCTTCTGAATAGCATGCTTAATTCGGAAAGAAACCCTAGTGCAAAACAGGAAAAATATCTGTCTATAACTATAATGCGTGAAAAGTTAAAAATCTAGTTGCTTAGTCTTTAGTCATTAATTTTCACTCTTTTTAAGTCTTTTAAGTCAAAAAAAATTTTCGCCTGCGCCGCGATTTTTGGTTCCTAATTATGAATTTTTTTGTTACTAAAAAATCTTGCCCCCCTCCCTTCACTTAAATCCTTTATCCGCCCCTGATTCTGGTATAAATCACAAAAATAATTAATTTTCAATACAAATTACATATATATATATAAATTTTCATTAGTTATCCATAAATCAAATATGTACATTGTACTCAAAAACTGACAAGAAATGCCTTTTATTAAAAATTCATGATTTTACATGAAAAATATTTTTTTTTAATATGACACATCACACAATATTTGCGGTGAACATGTAGGATTAATTGAATAGTTGTACTACAGTATTAAAGCAATATCATAATAAGTGGCAGAACTGAGTGAAAATATCTAAAAAATACTTGATAAACCCCCTTTCCCTTTCCCAGGAAAAAACAGCATAATGAAAAAAACAAAGATTAAGGCACATTGGAACCTTGTCAAACTGTTCTGATCTACGGCAGTAGTTAGGCTCGGAGACGAAGGGGGTCTGTATGTGTGTATATGGTGTATTAAGTGCTATATGCATGATTGAACTATAAGCTCAATAAACTAACGTTCAATTATCTTTTTTTATTTTACGATAAGAGCTCTTAAATTTCCTCAGGGTCTGGATTCTCGAATCGCTAAATTGCAAAACAGGGTGGACTTCGTCATTTCTTGCCCCCCCCCCCCTACAGGGGGGGGCAAGACTTCTTAAGGGAGGGGCATGCCCCTCCCCCCTTAATCATGCTAGGGGGGGCCTGGCCCCCCCCTAGTTGCGCGCCTGCCCCTAACCCCCTTGTAAATAGAAACTTTGAATTGTATAAAATGAAAGACAAGACACCAGTAGCTGTTCAGAATTAGTTTTAATTATTAGTTATATAACTGGCATACGTTTTTGCGCTATATACATCAGACATAATAGAAGATTGAAAAAAGACTTTTTAAGATTCATCATTTAAGTTCTTTGCTTCGTGTAATTGTGCTCATTTTTTATAGAAAAAAAAATAAATAAAACCAATGGTTTTTCTTTTTGTTTTCCTTCTTCTTTTCAACAAAGGCAAAGCAGACAATATTTAAGGCTTTGTTAGTAGTGTTAATGTTTTATAAATTACTTTGTTTACATATTATTTACTCATTTTATTTGACTAATTATTTCTTTATCTTATTGTAATACATGCACTCAAACACCTTCTAATTTCATGTACTATTTCATGTTTCTTTATTCAATTCGTTTCTTTTGTCTTTAATGAGACACATATATTTTTAATCTTTAATAATTTACAATATATAGACATATTTCTAATTATAAGAGAATTCTATATAGTCCTGATTGTTGAAAAGAGAAAGAAAGAAAGCAAGATCGTTAATAGATTGTCTGGTTGACCAGTAGTGTCATAGGATGCTAATACGAGCGAATGTAACCTTTAACAAAAACCTGCAGAAGTCATTTTTCGAAAGGATCTCAACGCTTACATCTAATTTGTTATCCCTGATGGAGTAAACATTTGATATTTCAAATGTTCAAACTTTTACTATTCGAACTAGCAGAATTCATAACTTCAAATAAATAAGGTCTTCAAGATCAGGTTGCAGAGATATAAGTATTTGAAAATTATAGTTTGAGACTCTAATAGCGGGGCGGGATGAAAGCTTTATATTTCCCTATTTGACTCTGCTGCACAGATCTGCAAGTAAATTTCAGAGAGGAACCACAATCAAAATTAAAAATCAATTAGAAAAAAGAAAATTTGCATTATTATTGTTGTGAATTAGGCTCTTTTTTAAAAACCGGGGTTCACTTCGATTTTTATATTTGAAATTTTCAAAATAAACATATTCAATGTTGTCGCAAATTGTTTGTAAAATTTTACTTTTCTTTATTACTTAACTCTTCCTTACTTTTCAAAATTAATCATTTGATAAAAAAAATTTATTTGTTTTTTAACTAATTCGAAAATGTAAAATTTAAATTTTTGAAAATCCCTTAAAAAGAGGATTATAACAGAAAAATTCAAACCCTCACGAGCACTCTAACCAGTAAAAAGGATTATAACAGAAAAATTCAAACCCTCACGAGCACTCTAACCAGTAAAAAGGATTATAACAGAAAAATTCAAACCCTCACGAGCACTCTAACCAGTAAAAAGGATTATAACAGAAAAATTCAAACCCTCACGAGCACTCTAACCAGTAAAAGTTTAAGGTAATATTTTAATACATTAATAATTTTTCTAGAAACTGTTTAAAAGTTCTGATTTCAAATTGCAGACCTCTTTATCTTCTGATTTCATAAAAAATGAATTGTTTTAAAAAATTTATTTAGATAAATAAACAACAATTAACATTTAAATATTAAATTGGCTACTTCAACACTTACATCAGATTTGATCTAACTTATTGGAATTATTGGGTCAAATAATTACAAAAGTCTGATACAAATTTTTATTTACAGAATATCCAGGATTTAATGAGTATTTTGTAAACATATATTTTTGATAATATTATCATATGTAGTATTATTATTATCGTCTAATATACAAAACTCTGCTTACAACATTCATTATGTTTACTAATTCACGGACAGCCGTAGTACATTTGAATTTCCG